TTCATATAACAAAAAAATGCATTTTCTATACTTGTCTTATATAAGAGTAACCTCACGGAAATATGTTATTGAAATTGGCAATGCTAACGAACACTGAACTTCACTTTATTATTACAATCAACTAGCTAATAGTATGCTATTTTCCGAACATGGACAATGGTCGGAAACTAACGTTAATGAAAAGCGATTTAATTGAGGGTATGGCTGTGATCCAGGCATGTCAATCTCAAAGTATTTACTGGGCTATTGAATTACTGTTTATAACATTCTGGGCCTGATCGGACAGGAAAAATATTGATCGCTTATATTATAATATCCAGTGCCACGATCGTGGAGCGAGCTAAGTAAAAAAAAATAATAACTACAGAATGGTGTGTGTATAGTATATAAAGACAGGAGTTACCTATTTAAACTGTGTAAAATCCAGGTAAATTTTTAATACCTCAAAACTAATTTTGTAATGCACCAATTAACTCCTAGTAAACTCCAAAACATCAGAAATATTGTGCAGAACGTGCTTTTGTAAAAAATCATCAAAATCGTAAGTTTAAAAATTAAGTTTTAAATGAAAAAGTGCAAACTTTTTAATGGAAATTTATATTAAATTCAGAATCACAGTAGCCGTCATTGTAGTCGTTGTTGCATCAGTGTTGCCAATGTTACCAACAATATTACCGTTCTTATAGATTATTGTGTAAATACCACGGACTAAAATATTAAGATACTATATCTTAGTCCGTGGAAAATACTCAATATTTAATAACCATACAAATTAGTGATATCACAACAAAAACGCTTCGTAAACTACGTGTAAAAATGGCTAAGTAAAAAAAAATATAAGAACTTTAAGCTCTTTAATTTAAGTAAACTTATTTTGTTTCTATAATTTATTTACTTGGCGAGGAATTATTTAGAATAATATATAAATATTAATAATAATAATAAGTTATATTTTAATAGTCCATCACCATTTAATTATTTTGTTCATCACCACACTTTATTTCTTTTAAGAAATAATTCTTAGAAAAGTAATTAAATTATTGAAACAAGATAAGTTTACTTAAATTCAATATACTTAGCATTTATTCATGATATCACATCTTTATAAAGCTTAAAGATCTTATATTTTTTTTACTTAGCCATTTTCACACATAGTTTACGAAGGGTTCTGGTTGTGATATAATTATACTGAATACTATCATACGTATTTTATATATTATTATATATTATTAGTATTTTAAAATATTTTGATTACAATTGTTACTCGTCGAATGGTTTGCAAAAACAGGGTGTCCATATCTGGTAAAATAATCCCTCAAATAGCCATCATTAATTGATCCGTAACTAGATATTATTGGCAACTGTATTCGAGGAGGCCTTTGTTCAACAGCATTTGGTGGCTCTTCATCATCGGATATACACTAAAAATAGTTGAACAATTAGTATGAAAATATATTATTTGGTGGTTAACAGACTGGTACGTAATATAAGCAATTAATACTTAAATTCAGCTACCCATGTCGTTTATCCAAAAGCTCTGTTATCTGAATATCTATAAGCGCTGTAGCGATTGAACACGTAATTATGTAGACATGTAAAAGTACATATTTTCGTACATACTATATATATATATATTATATTAAATTCTCAGTATCCGAACTAGGTGAGGTCCAAAAAGTTCAGATAATTGTTACTGTTACTTCATGAATCGCTGTGAAAAGTAGCAGCGACTGTTACTTTTTAACAAAACTAACCTATATTCTATCTCGCAATGACTGTATACAGCAATAATAATTTGAGAAGTAAGTGTATGTATGTTCTCAGTGTGCAGAAAGTGCACATTTACATTTTTTTTAATAATATAGAAAACAAACAATTTAAAATTAATTAGCTCAATTCTCAAAAATGCATCAAATTCAGGAATGTAGAACAAAATATCTAATAAATGTTATCTTACAGGTAATCTAGGTAATTGAATTATTTTGCATTTTAGCCAATATTTTATTACTTATTATTTAAGTATAATGAATTTTAAAATGTTTGTGTTTATTTATAAAATTGTTTTTTATGTAGTTTATAAGTAATCTAAGCTAAAATAATTTTACCTAACCAGCAGACACTAAATGTACATTTTTATAATACTAATTACCGTGTGTAGTATCTGATATGCACAGTAGTCGTTGATTTATATTATGACTCATATCACTACTGTATATTAAATGATCATACTTTTTATTATATTTTATAATATATCCGATCTTATTATTATATACCTTTAGCTTCTATAATATATCTGTGTACTTCAACCACAGCATACACCAGAAATCGGCTGAAAATATTTTAAGTGTATTACCAGTATAGTGCTTTCATTGTTGATTTCATCACCGCTGTCATCTGAATCTGTTATAACTATTGGTTTATCCATGATACCGTTAAAATATTCTTTGAGATACTTCTCTATTGTGAGACGGTACTTGCTCTTCTTTGGAACTACTTAAACTTCCACTACAATTCCCACGATTACGTAAATTTAATTTTTTTTATTCTCCTCTACTACATCCATATCTGAAATTTAATATTCAATGGTTTAAATTGTTTCATATACCTACGGATTATATTTTTAAATTACAACAAATAACTAATATCGGCACTCTTGGTTTTAATATATAATTTTGTCCAAATTTGAACTTAAAATATCTGTAAAAAATAAATTTGCTTATATATATTTTTAGATCGTTTGGCTACAGTATGAACTATTTATGAGAATACTTGTTTTAAATTTTCAATCTTAAGTTAAAAAAATTGAACACTATAATTTTTTAACTCCAAGTTTTTTTAAATTTTAGAGATTTATTAAATTTTGTCAATATCAGAGGTTTAAATATGTCTTATAAAAATAATTGTGCTTATGGATCTTTAATATTTCTCAATTGCTATTATAATTACTTATAAGGAACCTTGTATTCAATTTTCAAACTTTTTGATCCAACGTATAAAATTTTATTGACAATTATAGAAGAAAAAAATTAAAAAAATTCAACCATCTAAAAATAATTCAAAAACATTTTGAAATCGCTATCATGTATAGAAAATAACAAATAAATGAACATATAATGAAAATTTCAAGTACCTACGGTTCTTAGTTTTTGAATAACGACAAAATAAGGATAGATATCAATAGACATTTTTTTAGGAATTTCTAACTAGAAATAATTTGCCAATTTTCATGATTTTGATGAAAATTGTCAAAATTCTAACTTCAGACGTTCATAAAATATGACAGGATTTACGATCAACTTTTTTTTTAATTTCCAACTAACATCAATTATTGAGGAACATTGTATTATATTTTGACAAGCCGATAAATCAGTAAAAATAGGGTACACAGAAAAATTATTGCGCATGCGCAAAAGATTAGAGTTAAGAACTTGTAAGTCATAGGAATTTATGATATAATAGTTTAACTGCAAACAGAATTCAAACATATAAGTAACTGTTATTAGTTTTTGCAGATACAGTATATATGAAAACAATTTAGAGCAACCATGTCAATTTTTAAATTAATGATTAAACAGGAAATAATTATGAACTCACAACTTTTTTTCTGGTTGTCCTATTTACTGTAGGTAAGCCATGAATTTCATTCCAGTTTTTCCTTAATTACATAGGTGGATTTTGTTATACTGTTTAATAGTCTGTAAAAAAGATAAAATGATTAGTTCTGTGTAATAACTAATAGGTAGGTTAGTACCTATAATTGTGTATTACTTGCTTAAAATTCAATAGGTAAGTACCTATATTAAGTTTATTATTTTCTATAATCAAATAGATTTAAAAGATTATGTTATAAAACTCACCGTGTCATATGATAGATCTTGGAAATGGCCAAATTAATTTTTGTCATTAAAAATAAATTTCTTAGGATATTGAATAGGTATGTCAAAAAACCAATCTTTATATTTTGATCTGTAAAAAAACAGCATAAATTAAACACGCGGGTTGTATAATAGGATAATAGCAGGTACCTACTACTTTCACATTAAATTTAATCACTTTTAAATTTGCTCAAAATTTTTCAATGTGATGGTTTCCTCACATTTCACAGCAGTCATGCAGTCATATTGAAAGATGAACACCTAACGGTTCTTCTCTTGATACGTGGTATTTCAGATCAAATTCTGGAAAAATTAATAAATATTATTTTGAATAAAGTATAGACGTACTTAATCAGTTCTTCCCCGGATTGCGAGAAATACTATGACACAGTATATATGCAAATAAATGTAGCAACCATGTCAATTTTAAAATTAATGATTAAACAGGAAAGTACACAATATGTCAATGTTACATACAAAGTCCGGAATTGTACATTTCGCAATTTGTACAGTGATTTTTGTACACATTGCAAATTGTTCTATGTTGCTGTACAAAGTAACTAGATTGTACAAGTTGCATTATACAATTCGCGATGTGTACAATAATCACTGTAAAAAATTGCGAAATGTACAATCATTGAACAAATCACAAAATTCAAAAACTAATTATATAAATTACAATATAATAATAACTGGTATCTTTTAAAAAGTCTTTACATATTAGTATACTACAGTCATTGAACAAATCACAAATTTAAAAACATTTTATAAGAATTACAATTTTTCATATAAAAAAAATATTATTATAAAACTACATATTACTGACACAGTACATATTGCTCGACATATTGTGATATAAAATAAAACACATGAATATATAAAAATATATATCTCGTATAGTCTTATGAGTTGTGTTTCCCACGTTATGTGGAATCTAAAATATAAGTAAAGGTATAATGCAATAAAAACGATAAAGTTTATATAAGCGACTTTACGATACTGTCATTGAGTCGTTCAGAAATATAATTTAAACAGATTTTAGTGAGGACTAGTGCATTGTACTCGGAACTGCTGCAATATTTCAACTTATATTAGTGTGATTATAGTATTATACAATCAGGCAAAATGAGTGAAGTTGAAAATACCTAATATTAATTTTAAAAATTTAAATAATTTAAAATATTAATTTAAGTGTAAATTCAATGGCCATAGCTTATGAGGAAAATTACAAAAAAAATAATAAATGAGGTACTTGAAACTAAACATCGGAAAAATAAGACTTCATTTAACTACCTACAGACGTTTGAATCGCTACAATATTATAAAAGTAAATGAAGTTCATAAATTGATTTTTCCGTTAAATAGATCAGAAAATAATGAAGTTAAATACTATTTACATTATGATGAAATATATGATGTTCTTGAAAAGTCACATAAAGAAACGGGGCATGGTGGACTTCATAAAATGATTTATCATTTAAAAAAATATGGTTACGTTAATATATCACTTCCTGTTATTCAATTATATTTAAACAATTGTGTAGTGTTTAAAAAAAAAAGGGTTTCAAAAAAAAGAGAAGTACCTAGTTGTTAAACCTATGGTATTTAATAAAGTCAATGCAGGTGGACAGGTAGATTTAATCGATATGCAGTCATGCTATGATGGTGGGTACAAATGTATATGAAATTACCAGGACCATTTACCAAAATTTTTAATGTTGCATGCTCTTAAAACAAAAACTGTAGCTGAAGTAACATATCATTTAATTGATATATTTTGTAATTTTGGAGCACCTTCAATTCTTGAGTCAGACAACGGCCGTGAGTTTATTAATAGTATAATTGATGAATTAAAAAATATACGGCCACAACTTAAGATTGTACATGGGAAACCTCACCACTCTTAGAGTTAAGGAAGTGTTAAAAAGGCAAACAGAGATGTGCAAGATATGTCGGACAATAAATCTAATAAATGGAGAGAAGGTATCCGATTTTGCCAGTTTCAAAAAAATAGTAGCTATCATTCTGGTATTAAACAATCTCCATTTGAAGTATTATTCGGCATAAAAGCACAACTTGGCCTCATTTCTAGTGCCCTGCCTGATAATATACTCAAAACATTAAATTCTGAAAATGATTTATAGCAAGCTATTTCTTCATTAGAGCTCATTAATTATGAATTAACCAAAACAGAAGTAAGTGAAGATAAAACTTTAGGGCAGGTCTCAACTGCAAGTAAAGATAATATTTTAAAGCAGGCCTCAACTGCAAGTGAATGGGTATTAGAAGAAATTACAATTGTGCAAGGTAAAATAAATAAAAATAAAAAGCAAGCTGTAGTTCATTACATCACAAAGCAAAACGAATGAAAACTGATAGTATCGAGTCGTTTCAATCGGTACAAATCAAGAAATATCATAGCTAATACATTATTTTATATTTATAAATAATAATCATATTGATATTAGTAAGCGATCTACTTTCATTTTATTAGGTAGGATAATGTAAGTAATGACGGACTTGTATAAAATCGGTAGTAAAAATGGCATTATTGCACAACTATTTAGTAGTAACTAATGTTCATCTTGTGATGGGGTAAATATGTTAAATATAAGTAATATACCTACTGATAAAATTTCTCTAGGAGCGGCAAATAAAAAAGAATCAATATTTCATGGACAAGGTTTTTTAAAATGTTTATGTACACATAAATGCTATAATAATTAATGTATATGTAAAAAAAAAAATCTAATATGCAACTCACGCTATCATAACTCACTTGATTGTAAGAATAAATAATAATGATAATGTATATTATGTAATTATATTTGATTTTAGTAATATGTAGGTAGTTTTGTAATAATATTTTTTTTATATGAAAAATTGTAATTTCTATAATAGGTATGTTATTAAATTTTGTGATTTGTTCGATGATTGTAGTATACTACTTTGTAAAGACCAGGTATATCTATTTTTATGTGATATACTATACTGCGGCCCACGAGAGAGTACCAGTAGTCCGACGAAAACTCATCTGATTCCGCGCATTCCCCAATACTCGTTTGATAGCTGATAGGTATAATATAGCGGTCGTGGAAATAGCGGGGGAAATGGGGCCTCGGAACGGTCTCCACCGTCAGTCTGCATGCGCAAAACGAAGATACTCCCTCGTGGGCCGCAGTATAACATGTAATAATATTTGATGAGAAATTACTTTAAAACATACTCACCAGTAATGGTAGTAATGGTCATTGTAATTTATAAAATGTTTTAAAATTTTGTGATTCGTACAGTGATTGTTGTACACATCGCGAATTGTAAAATGTCACTTGTACAATCTACCTAGTTACTTTGTACGGCAACATTGTACAATTCCGGATTTTGTATGTAACATCGATATACCGTATTATTATTATTATACGGCAATTCTTCTGTACTGAAAAACAACAAACTAAACTCACCGGCAAAGTCGTCAGTAACTTCAATGTCACAATTAATGGAATTCGGAATGGAAGGCCTTCTGCTGAAACCCGAATCGCGTCCTTCACTGTGATCGAGGGGTTGGGAATGGTATTTTCCAGCTCGTGTTTTCGGATGTTCAAATCTCACGTTCGAGGGAGGAAAATGATCAAAATTTAAAAGAACACGTCAAGTGAAATCGAAATCGCACTTTATTGATGCACTTCTCGCACGGCTTCTTACAATAATTAGCTGCGGCTACATGTTGAACTGCGCCCTACCAACACTCGCGCAGGTGGTCGATTCCGTTGGTCGATACAACCGTGTTAGGCGTATAACAACTGTTATGACAAATTTATTAGATTGTGATGACCATCGAATAATAAGAATATTCTAAAACAACTATTATAGGCGACTTCGTACACGAATGAGATTACCGTCGGACTGGCGTTAGTCTGCGCTCGCAAATTGCTGCGTCACCAATTAATAACTCGAAGTGTAAACAATTATAATATATGGCTAATGATCGTTTTCCCGGACAACTTAAATATTGTATCCAATCACAGCGCGCGGAGTATTATCATATTCTTATCACGAATCTTTACCGCAGTCCGCAGGTCGATGTCGGGGGCAAGCATAGATAATATTATCTATGGGGATTGGGGGCAAGGTTTATAGATAATATGGATATTATCTATAAGCCCTGGATGTCGAGATAGAACATATTTTAATTTGTGTATGAATAATTATTTTACATAATTACGTCGAATTAATACGAATTTGTCGAATTTATCATCTAATATTTACGCGTTTCCGTTATTTAATAAAACACGGAAATTTCGATTGTGTTATAATTTCTTTTTACCTACTTGATTGTAAATATGAAACGGATTAGTCAATCGTTAGTACCTACTTATATTATTAGAAGTGTATTACCTACTTGCGATTTCTAACGCCTAACGAACATCATCAAAATTACGAACAAGAGACGAGTGTAAAAAAGTCAAGATCAACGGAGAAGAAATGACAAACAATTTTCATGGTAGACTGTATGATACAAAACCATGTTGTAACTGCACAATTTCAAACTATGGATAGAAAAAATGACCTCAACAATCTTCAGAATTCTGGTGTAAAGGAAAAAAAATATTAAATCCTGGAAAGAGGTAATAAGATAAATACATTTTAAAACATTACATTAATAAAATATTAAAGTTAACACTGGACTTTCCTTTTATCTTTATTTGGTGATTTGTATGTGAATGAAGAGTTATAGCACTGGTTTTTTAATATAGATACTATAATACTATACTACAGTAGGTTCCCGTTACAACGAATACCAATACAAAGAAAAATCCCGTTGTACAAGTCATAGAAGTCCCCTACTAAAAAGCTATTAAGATTTTCCAAAGCCATTACAACGAAATTTCCGTTATAACGAAAAAAAATTCAGTCCCTTGCAGTTTGTTGTAACGGTATTATACTGTATATCCAATTGTTATTGGCTTAAGGTTATTGCATTTGCAAGTGTTAAAAATTATACGTCACTAATTTAAATTATAAAAATAATTTTCTTTGAATCGGTACTAAACTGTCAACTCATATCTACGAAATACTGAATGTACTACTTCATAAAGTATTATGAATATCTACAGTCTTTTTTATTTTCATTAACAATGTTTTTGTTAACGTTTATAAGTATAATACAAATGTATAATATAATAATATAAATATAGGTACCTATGTATATTTGATTATAATATTATATATATTTGGTTATAATAAATTTACAAAACATACCTTGTGAGTGATCTTCATTTTAAAGAAGAATGTCATAGTTAGTACTAAGTTATTGAAACATAATTTAATTCATACATTGACAATTCCTAAGTTGTCCTCACCAGTTTGTGAGTAATTAATATTGTGAAAACAATTATATATTAATATATACTTATTATATTCTTATATGTGTAATAATTGTTGTGTATCTACCTATCAGGCCATTTTTTAAGGATGTTTTTTATGTCCAAATGGACAAAGTAAAGTACAATGGACCCCGTTGAGTAAGATTTTACTGAGGATTTTACTAACTTTGTGTCCACTAGAATAAATATTAAATTGTAATAACTATAATATATTAATTAAACTATTATTTCTTAGATTTTTCTTCTCTTTTATAAAAAAATATATATTTATATTTAGCATTCTAATCAATAATAAAAGTAAAATATATTTATTAGGTTAGTATAGTAACCTAGTAACGGATACGCCTAGTAACGGCGCCGCTTGTGGCCGTTTTAATTCCGTGTAGAAATAATAAATATTTATTTCTAACATGGGCAGTGTCAGTCTAGATAATAATTGGGGCCCCTCTCACAATAATTCTCAATGTGCCCCTTTACAAAAAAAAAAAAAACCTAGGTCATTTTTCTTTTCTGTGTATACAATTAATATCTTACCATAACTAAAGTCTAATCTCATATACAAGGTATTCATTTTATTATTAGATAGAATTTTATTGTGTTAAATTTAATTAAGTTAATATAAACAAAATAATGTATGGTTACAGCCTTTATAAAATATAATTGTAAATACAGTTTGACAATATTGTTTTGGTAAAAAATATATACTCTTTGATGATTAAATAGATACAAAATTAAAATAAATATAGGTAATAGACACCTAGCACAGATAAGCTGGTTGATTGGAAAGTTAGGAGCTTTAATTCAATATGTAATGCAGATATTCTAATGTAGTTATATATTATATAACCAATAGCCTCCCTTTTACCATGGTCTAAAAAAAATTATTACATTTTTTTTTTTGTTTTTAAAAATTCAAAAATATCTATTTTGTAAAGTTAGGTATCTTTTTTCTATAACAATACGGAGAAATACAATTTTTAAAATCAATTGATTTTTGAATGAATAAAAGCAATTTATATTTTCAAAAATACTGTATAATATATTGTCATTTGTGCTATCCAATAGGTAATAAGAACACACTATACTCGTTGCCTATGTACCTATGTTCTACTTTGTATTTGTTTTTATAATATTCTTAAATATATCCACAAGTAAATTTTATTGGACCATTATTTTTGTAATTAAATTAGCGCGTCACTGGGATTAATTTCAATAAATTAAAAAATGTGTTTCAAAAATCATGTTACCAAGGGTCTATAAAATTGACTTGTGCATAACAGTTCACAATGTTGGATATATTATCAACAATACATACAATTTCAAAGAATACCTATTTTTCTTTATTACCTATTCGATTAGCATTAGTTATTTAAGTGTGGAAACTATACAATTTTACAACAGTATACAATTACAATATTATGCTGTATTTTTGAAAATATAATTAGCTTTCATTTATTCAAAATTTAATTGATTATAAAATTGTTTTTCTCCATATTATAAATTAATATTATTTTAGTATTATTTTTTTATATAGACTACGGTATAAGAGAGGCAATATAAAGGAAATTATCTTATTAATATGTAAATACATAATTGTCACATATAAAATTAAAAAATGTATGAAAATCGCTAGTAAAGTTAAATTTTGTTTTTCTTTCCCATTGGTTAGGCCCCCTAATAAATAAAGATATCCAAGTGCCCACGGTGATTACTGGGTAGCCGGGTGGGCTTGACCGATGACACTGATCATGGTTATATGACTTTGGGGAGTAAATAGAGAGGTCTCTGAGTTAATAAAAAAAAGGGTATTTCTTCTAGTGAAACTTATTTTTACTGGTGGAAGAGTGGACACGCAGTGATTATTCACTAAAAAATGGCCTGCTATATAATATATAATATATAATATGTACCTACCTAATTATTTCTTTTCTAAATGTTTAGTTTTAGAATTGTGTAAATAATTATCATGAATTTAGTGACCACTTACTGACAGTTTAGTCCTTATGTTTAACCATAATTAATGTAATAAAATTAATAAATTAACTATTTAACTAATATGTTTTTATAAATTTACAGCCCGATTTATAGTGTTATGTGGCAACTATAAATTAGAAAAGGAAGCTACAGCTGACACTACAAAATTAATTGACAGTGTTAATAATAGTTCCACAATTTCCACAATTATTCAGCCTGGGAAGGAATTGCGTAATGCTGTGACATCCACATCAATCCTTTGGCAATTCTGGAAGGCAGCTCTATTGGTTTTAGAGAGTATGAGTTTTTAAGAATACTTATGTAATATATAATACATTTTTTATTTAATAATAATTATACATTATTGTG